TTTTCTACAGTTTCTATAATTCTCTTAACGTATGAAAATATGCAGGTTTTCTGATATAATAAGACTTTGATAAAATCAAAACCAATAATACTTTTAAAGTCGAGAGTCGGGATAAATATCGGCAAGGTGGAGATATGTTCCGCCGGCGCTTCCGCAACAGCAAGACTGAAGGACGCAAGTTACAAAGCAAAACATGTTTAGTCAAGTTAAAGACTTAATTACCGGTTTAACTTCGGCGGCAGTGCCTACTGCTGTGAGCAACATGCGCTGTCCATCGTAATCCCCCTATCATTAACACTGTCGGGGACGTGCGCATTAGCGCGTCTGATGTAGACAGCGTGTGCTATTAAAGTGACCGGGGACTTATTAGCTATAGTGTATGTGTGTATACTCAAGGATAAAAAGAGACACAACACTCAGTTTTGAGTTTTTGAGGGGGGGGGGGGAAGAATGATTTTATTTTTGAGATCCGCCAGTTATAAATGAACCCTACATCCATTTCTAATCGTCAGTCAAACTTTTTCGGCCTTAATACATTTTTGAGTCCAATAACACAACCAAACAATAGAGCACTCCCCCCCCCCCACCCACCCAAAAAAAAAAAAAGCAAAGTGACAGGAATTGCATCATACTGTCAATAGTTCACGTGGCCGCTCGTTGGCATCCTGCACAGCGATTATTCGTCGCCTCATGGATCAGTCCAGGCCTATCTGAAGATTTGCCGATATGGCTGCCCAAATCATGACACTGAGACCGCCCCTACGGTTCACCTGGCGCACACAAGGTCCGGCATACCTCGCCCAACTTTGTCAGAGGTACCAGCGGCACGGTATCGCTAAGCAAGACGAGTAATGGCAGAGTGGTGGACTTCAAACATCCTGGCAACACAGCAACACAGCCCCGTCCAGCTTGGAGCATGCCAATAAGTAGTAATACGTAACTTATTTACCAAAATGTCACACAATCGCAATGTTCTCTCTCTTTCTCTCGCGGGTATTTTTACTTTCTCTCTGTAATATTATCAGTCTTTTGTGATCACGACCAGTGTTCAAAAAGCCTAGCTCACTGCCATCTCTAAAAATTGAAATTGATGACTGCAATCACTTCCTTTAATCGTGGTTAAATAGTTTTCTCTGACCACATGGTGCGCTAGTCTGTTACAAAATGTTAAAAACACACTGTGATTTTGTACATATATTAGTGGAGCCCTGATATCAGAAAATAGTTAAATATTGCTAGGAAGGTCATTGTTGATTCAACCGCAGAAGATACAATCGAGGAACTAAAGACCTTTTATTGATATTACTCATAGCCCACCAGGACAAGCCATCGTTTTGAAGACAAAACAATACTTCGTCCTGTCCACCGACAAAAAAGGTTCAACGTAGAAAATTTAAACGATATTATCCTTAATTACCACTTGCTAAAATCTGAAAAAGACGAAGCCCAGGACAGCGGAACTTTATGACCAGAATTCAGTATATTTCTTGGGTTAATAAGAAAAGGGGCAAGTGCATGGAGTGTATGATACATATTGTACTGTAATTATGGTAATTGAGAGGGGACACTGTTGTCCCTATATAAATTCCTTGTCACCAGATCAACATTGAAATATCTTTTAATATTAAAAATAGACCCTAGAATGTGCTTCTTTAGACCAAGTAACTTTCTGATTAGCCTAGGGTCATTCTTTTGTTCGTTTCCAGTGCAAATGATATGTATTAAGTGATGCTACGTGTAATTAGCTAGTTTACGCCACAGACATTTAAATTTGTTCTGCAAACACTGATGTTTTCTTTTATTATAATCTGTTTATCCTTCCTTTGGCTCCTACGCTCATGTTGACAAGAAGCTACCAATAAAGTGTTGCGGGAATTTAAAAAAATTGCTTTTGTTGTTATGTTTAACTTATGAAAATGAAAGTTGTTGAATATTCTGTCAAGTTTATTTCCTCTTTCTTAATTTATTTATTTCTATAAATACTATATGCGTAACATTTACAAAAGTTCTCTTTGACATAAAAAACAGTAAAAGTGATATGTTGACTAGCTATAATATTTCGTTCAATTGTTGACCACGCGACACAGCAAATTAAATGAAATAACAACTGACACTGGTTCAACGTGCAGCTAACTCGTGAAACTATAGAAATCTAGTGATCAAATAAACAGTTCGCCTCAAGAGACAGATCGTTTACATAAATACTCCAAAGGGGAGTACCAACCTAGTCGACTGGGGGATTAAGCCAATCAACATATTCCGCTTGCAATCGTTTACCTACCTCTTTCTCTTTCTTATGTATTTTCTATAAATACTATAAAGCCAGTCAAGGTCTGTTCCGTGATAGGCAAAAGTCTAAACTGCATATAGCGTCCAATATCTTAACAAACGCAGGTTGTCTGTTTGAGCCTTTATTGATCCACTATAATAAGATACGTTCTGAAATAATAATAAATAAAGATACTTAACATCTATACTTCATGATCCTTTTCAATATGACTTACATATATAATGACTGAATGTCACTGTTATTAAATCAATTTCTTTTATAAGTGCATTACAAAGTTAAGAAGAAACAAATTAATTCCAAAATTAAATGATAACATACATAAACTAGCTACTCACTAGACTTGTCTAGCCTCGACTTGTGAAACATGACAAAATACGTATAACCTTTGTCTGCTGACACTGTAATAAATATAAAACAACTTCATGGAATTATATAGCTAGCTGAGATAAACATACTCAATATCTAAGGAAAGAAAATAAACGTAAACTAACATGCCTGACAAAGTTTGTTTGTTAACCACGCCTAATACATTCATGCATTATAACACGTGTTCTTAAAATGCCTTTACATTACTTGCAAATTTATATGCTAATTGCGTAATGAGCTATAAAATAGGTCTAGTAACCAAGCAACATATATAAAATGAGTTTTAAGAAAGGACCGGGCAAATACATACTGTACTTATTTGTCTTTTTTCCTACTTTCTCTTCATATGTGCGAGTGTTGCGTCCTCCGTGAATCTGAACGTGTGCACCTCTCTCAACTTACGAATCTCTTTCTTCTAAAGATCATTTTCTCAACCAAATACATAGCAATTGCACCGAATGCAGTATGTGAGACTACATGGTAATTACTTTCCCTTAAACACGGGATATAGAATTCTAGCCACTACATACACCCTCCACCTTAAGAGCATGCCATGCTTCTTAACTATCCATATACATCTTTAACTACTTCAGCAAACTGCTACTAGTGATCTTAATTATTCAAATACGGTATAACATAAACAATGTATTGTAAGTATAGCAAAGAGAAATCCCTTATAAACTATTAAAAAAAAACATTCAATATAATCAAAAACATAACATTTTCAAGTCTCACTGGGACAGCGATCCGCCTACATCCCTTACACTGTTTAACACATCCACTTGATGTATCCTTAGGTCTAATTATTCACCTCGATTATATCATAAACAATGTTAATCTTCATTTTGACCTTCCAAAAACACACACTTGGTTACAGGTCGTACTAACATGGAATTTTGTGTCCTGACTCTAACTTTGCGCACAAGACCATCATCTCCAGGAAAAATGTTAACCACACGGGCAAGAGGCCAATTTCCTCGAGGTAATACATCATCAACCAGTAATACAACATCATCAACATGAATATTTCTTTCTGGCTTAATCCATTTCTGCCTTGTTTGCAATAAGGGTAAGTATTCACTGATCCACCTTTTCCAGAATTGGTCTGCCATGTACTGAACTTGACGCCATCTGCGCCTGACATATAAATCTTCTTTCCTGAATACTCCTGGTGGTAAATTATTTACTGATCGTAGGAGAAGCAAGTGATTCGGTGTCAAAGGCTCCAAGTCATTTGGATCATCAGAGACTGTGGTAATTGGCCTTCCATTCAGTATGGATTCTACTTCAGTCATGAAAGTCATTAACCCTTCAACATCCAAAGTCTGTAGCTTCAGCACTGCAGATAGCACTTTACGTATGCTTCTAATGCACCTCTCCCACACTCCTCCCCAGTGTGAGGCAGCAGGTGGATTAAACACCCATTTCACATGTTTCTGCACTAGAAAGTCATTAACAGCTTCTTGATTCCATGATAAAATGGATTCCCTTAATTCTCGTTCTCCTGCCACAAAATTAGTGCCATTGTCACTTCTGATCAACTCTGGAGCACCTCTCCTGGCGATAAACCTGCGCAGCGCATTAATAAATGCGTCTGTATCCAATGCACTTGAAACTTCAATGTGTACTGCTTTAGATGTCAAACATGTAAATATACACCCATAATATTTGACCATACTTCTTGCTCTCTTAATGTGAAAGGGTCCAAAATAATCTATCCCAACATATGTAAACGGTGGCTTGTCTGGTTTAACCCTTTCTTCAGGCAAGTCTGACATCTGTTGGACACATGGTGAAGCTTGTCTTCTTTTACAATCATGACAACTGTGAAGAACATGACGTACAGTGGAATTGGCCTTGATTATCCAATATCTGCTTCTGAGCTGTGAAAGAACATAATCTCTCCCTGAATGACCACATGCCTGATGATAATGTTGAATAATCAAATGTGTAACATGGTGCTTTTTAGGCAATATTACAGGGTGTTTCATTTTTTCTGGTATCCCTGCATGTACCAATCTTCCTCCAACACATAACAAACCATTGAACATCATGGGCTTCAACTTGTATAAACTGCTAGACTTCTTTATCTGTCCTCCTTGACCTTCAGACAATGATTTGAACTCTTCAGGAAAACATGATTTTTGTACAGTTTTGATGATTATCATCTCAGCTTCGTCAACTTCATCTACTGATAAATATCTTTCTTTGCTTTGTGCTCCTTTCAGCCTAGTAATAAATCTTAAAATCCAGGCAACAACTCTCACAGTTTTTGTCCACGAGGAGTACTTCTGAATCAGATTGTGTAAAAATCCTGTTTTTTCTGCTGTCTGTGCACATGTACTGACCTTCCTTTTCACCTCTGGGTCATCACTGTCCAACTGTCCTTCATAAACAGCTTGTGCTGGCCATTCATCTTCAAACTTGGACAAAAATGCCGGCCCTGCAATCCATGTATTCTCATGAATTAACTGATTTGCTGTGAGCCCTCTTGAAGCATGATCTGCAGGGTTTATATCACTAGACACATGCTTCCAATTGCACAAATCAGTATTCTCACGAATCATTGTAACTCTATTTGCCACATATGTATGAAACCTTTTATCCTCATTGTGTATATATCGTAGCACAGCCATGCTGTCTGTCCAGAAAACTGATTTTTCAATAGGTAAATCTATCTCTTTCCTAATCATCTGGTCTAATTTCACTGACACAGTGGCTGCAGCTAGCTCTAATCTGGGAACTGTCACTGTTTTCAATGGCGTGACTCTGGACTTGCCTACCAGAAAAACAACACTAACTTCTTTGTCATAATTCATCAGTCGTGCATACGAAACTGCTCCATATCCTACTTGTGATGCGTCTGAAAAATGATGTAACTGACATGACTCCACTAGACCAAATTTACATGGCTTTAAACACCTTGGACTTGAAAACTTGGCTAACTTGTGCACTTCAGACAGCCATCTTTGCCAGATCCTAAAATTCTGCTCACTTATCTCTTCATCCCAGTCCAACTTGGCCCTGGCTAGATCTTGGAGTAATATTTTGGCTTGTAACATACATGGTGCAGTAAATCCAAGTGGATCATACACAGAACTGATAATGGATAAAATGCCTCTTCTTGTTGCTGGCTTCTCTTTGACCTTGACCTTAAATCCAAATGAATCCTTCTCAGTGTCCCACAACACTCCTAAAGCTTTCTCAATTGGTAGCTTTTCTAAGTCCAAGTCTTTAACCTTTGGATTTCTGTCACTTTCTGGTATGGATTCTAACACTTTGGACGAATTTGATATCCATTTGGTAATCTTGAAACCTCCTTTATCAAGCAATTGCGTAACTTTGGTAACAAAGTGAATTGCCTCTTCTTCTGTATGTAGCGACTTCAAACAATCATCAACATAGAAATTTTCCTTCACACTTTGAGCAATCTCATTGCCAAACTCCTTTTCATTATCTTCAGCTGCCTTTTGCAATGCATAGCTGCATACACTAGGTGATGACGTAGCTCCAAACAAGTGAACTTTCATCCTGTATATTCCTGGTTCCTCATTGAAGTCTTCTGTATCCCACCAAAGGAATCTTAAGTAGTCACAGTGAGCTGGGCTAACTCTCACTTGATGAAACATTTCTTTGATATCTCCCATTACTGCTACTTCATTTTTTCTAAATCTTGTGAGCACACCAAATAATGAACTTGTAAGATCGGGCCCCTGTAGCAGACAGTCATTCAAAGATCTTCCTTTGAATTTGGACGCACAATCAAAAACTATTCTTGTCTTCTCAGGTTTTGCTGGATTGAATACTGGAAAATGTGGCAGATACCATGCCTGCGGTTGATCTTTGTTTGTCATAACTTTCTCAGCATATCCCTTCTTCAAGTTTTCCTTCATTGCACCCACATAATTCACCTTTAACTCTGGGTCCTTGTCCAACCTTTTCTTTAATAGTAACAGCCTCCTCCTTGCCATATCAATGTTGTTATCAAGAGGTTTTTCTTCTCTCCATGGTAAGTCTACGCAATAATGCCCATCTTCATATTTCACACTTGTCTTGAATATCCCTAGTGCCTTGATATCTTCTCTGGACATCTCTTCTTTTCCTTTAACTTCCTCAAAGTCTCTTTCAGTGTACTTGTTAAACATTTGAGTAAGTTGGGAATCTTTCCTTATGAAATTTGAAGTCACAGTCTTTCCTTTCCGTTTTAGTGGGCCATTTATTGTCCATCCGAGTACAGTCTGTATAGCACATGGTTCTCCCTCTCCTCCACTAACCACTTTCTTGGGCCTTAATGCTTCAAAGTTATCATTTCCAATAAGCAGCCCTATTGTTTCATCTTGTTTGTGGAAGTAGAAGGGGATGTCCTGTAAGTGGGTCCATTCACTGATGTCTTCTTGTGTTGCCCTGTCTTCTAATGATATAGGGAGTTTGCTTCTTGTTAATACTGTTGACAGTTGCATACTATGGTTTTCATCTACATCACTTATCTGTAAGCTGACAATTTCTCCAATCACTGGGGTAGCTTCTTTTTCTAGGGTTGTTAGTGTGTACTGTGTTTTCTTTCCCTTTATTCCCAGTTTCTTCTTGAGACCTTCAGTGCAGAAGGTGGAATTTGAACCGCTGTCCAGTAGTGCGTACGTTTGCACTACATTGTTTCCATTTGGGTTTTTCACCTTCACTGGCACTATGGGTAGTCCAATTGCAACATTTTCCGTGTCAACAAACCCATTAGCAGCACGTGGAGGGGTAGAGGAATTGTTCTCATTTGGCATACTATTGTAACTATGTAGAAGAGTATGATGCCTTTTCCCACAAACTTCACAGTTCCTTTTAAATTTACATTCATGTGCTGTGTGGTTTGGTTTAAGACATTTGAAGCACAGACCTTTGCTTAACACCATCTTCCTTCTTTCTTCATATTTGTCTGACACAAAAACTGAGCACTGGTCCAACCAATGATCTTGGCTGCATCTGATACAATGCTTGCTGACTACTGCAGGCAGATTACCTTCTCTTGAGAAACTTTCTGACACTTTGGATTCAGCAATAAATGCCTGAGCCTTGATGGACGATTTGCTTGAAACAAGTGACATGTCAACCAAAGAACCAAATACAGGGTCACGCCTCTTCTCTGCTTCCACTTCAACCATCTTTACCACATCATTCAAAGTCGGAAATTTGCCCAATGCTGTGATCTTGTGACTGTTCTCTAACCATTTTTTCCTCATATCTAATGGAAGTTTCTCAATAATTCTTCGTAAGGATTGTCCTGTATTTAATTCTGTCTCACAATTCATGGCACTTAACGTATCTTGGCACCCTCGAAGTGTATCGGCAAATGCTCTCAATTGTGCACCGTCTTTTATTGATTTGTGATTTAAAACTTTGTTGATCCAGACTTGAGAAATCAGATACGGATTGCCAAACCTTCTCTTCAGAGTTGTCATCGCTTCTGAGAAACCCTTACTTGGATCCGGGTGGTACAAACAGGGGGATATAGCATCTCTTGCTGGGCCTACTGTGTAATGATATAACCTAGTTAGTTTTTCATCATCGGTCACTGTCATTTTATCCACCATTGAAGAGAAAAGTCTCATAAAAGGCCAATACTTTATGTGATCTCCATCAAACTTGATTAGATCTGCCGGAGGGAGACGCATAGACTCTATGCTGGCTTGTTGTTGTTGTTGTGATAATTTTAAAAGTTGGGCCAATGAAGACTCAGCTGCAGAAGCAGGTGATTCAGCTGTTATTCTCTTTTCACCTTGTGTGGTTTCTGGAAAAAACGGCTTTACGTCGGTCTGCTCCTTAACTAATCTAAATTCCTCACGTAACCTTTCTTCTTGCTCTTTTATAAGACGCGAAAATTCTTGTTTATCTTGCTTCTGGCTATCACGTTGCTGTTTGATCTCCTTGAGAATCTGACTGAGCACAGAAGTCACATTTTCTTCAGCTTGCTGTTCAACAAGGGGCTCTGGTTTCTCCATTACTCTGCCAATCCAAGACAAAGTTGAAGCTCTAAAATCCCTAACTTCATGTAGCACAGATGATAAATATCCTTCTGAGACATCAATGTCATCCTCGTCCTTCAGAGTTACATGGTAACGTTCATGGGCTTTAACAAACTTACTAACTGCTTGACTAAGTGCTTCGAGCCCTTCTTCTACCTCCTTTACTAAATTGCTACTCATAGATGAATTTATCTGATTTATGGTTCGTGTCACAACACCTTTAGCGGCCCCTCTTAGACGTTTTAAAGTCATTGGGTCTTCGGTTACATCTTCTAAATCAGACATCTTTGTTGACTTGACTTGGTG